AACATGACATGAAATGCCTATTACCTGGAAGCGTATCGGGGGGGGGGGGGGGGGTCTACGATTCTCGCATGAAATCCGAGTGCGAGAACTATAATGCTGAAAAGTGCATTACTTGAAATAATCTATCTTCGGTTTGATCAATTCAAGGACAAATATTGTTATGTAAAATAAACTAAATGGCAGATATCTTATTTACGAAGTGGCTTTGAAAAAATTGATTCATAATTTGCTCTTTCTTTACAGTAGTTTTACTGTTTACTTATGGAACATCCTATATACAGGGTGTCTCACCTAAGTGAACCAATAGCTAACTTTATTATTATGAGATATAGAGTTAACTTCTTATGGGACACTCCCCATCATTTACTTTTAGGGTGCGTTTTGGGATAGTTTTGAATTTTAAAAATATATCCCTCATTTTCCAATATGGCCGACAACTTAGTTACTTTTCATAGAACATTCCGTATTTTATGATTGTTTTAGAACGTAAAAGCGATTTTAAAACATTTTTATTTATGGCTTTGTTTCTGTAAAGCCACTTGTTTAAGAGTTGCAGTGTGTTAAACTTAAATTGCTTTTGGTGTACTTTCTTTATCTTCTAGTTTAGAGGGAAATTGCAAGGAATATATATTAAATAAGTCTTAAAATCGCATCTATATCCTAAAAATACCATAAAATACTAAGTGTTCCAATATTAAAGTTAGCTGCCCTTTTTGAAAAATGGCCATTTTTAAAACAACAGGATCAATATTTTTAACGTACTTTACGATTTGGTTAGAATTTAGATTCAGTTTTAAAACTTCATTACTCTTTGAATTTTCTCTCTAAAATTAATCGTTCAGGAGATCTATATTGCAGAACATACACCACGAGCCTTTTTTCCTTAGGTGCAACACGGTGTAACTGCTACACGAGTTGCTTTAGAGAAAAAAATATCAAAAATAAAAATGTTAAAATCGCATTTATACATTCTAATACAATTATAAAATACAGGGTGTCCCATAAGAAATAACAAAATTGTCGACCATATTGGAAAATGGTGGGTGTATTTTTAAAATTAAAAAAAAATCCCAAAACACATCTTAAAAAAAGGGGAGTGCCCCGTAAAAAGTTAACTCTATATATCATAATAAAAAAGTAAGCTATTGGTTCATTTTAGATGAGTCCCTGTATATTTCCAAAAAATATAAACTTTTAGTGTTTTTGGAAACTGAGTACCTACATATAAAAAAATAAATATTAAATCGGTCCTGGGTCTTTTCGTGCCATCTACGGTAATAAATTAGTCCCTATAGGGAAATACGCTAAAAGCTATTTAAAGCCTTTTCATTAACGCAATGGTGTCTATCGACAGGATCTGCAGTTTAGACACCTAATGTTTATTTATTTGCAGTAATGTTTATTAAAAATACGCTAGCTAGTTATATTTAAACCTGTTGCCTGAATTGAAAGTAGGGAATGTTATGCAACTACGCTATATAATAAAGACGTGTTTCTAGACCAAGTGTTGAACGTGAATGCAGGTTCTAAACCATTCATACTTGGCTTAAAATCCCTACTATGTACGGTCGCCAATTCAATGAAAAGTATTAAAGTAAAGTATTTAAGTATTCTCTTCCACGTTCTTTTCCGCTGTGGCCATCAATGTTATAAATTTAAAGTTTAAAATTGCTTTTGGCAAATTATTGTAAAATAAACTTAGAGAAAAAGAAATCTCCAACCCATAACCGTATGGACTGCTAAGTTTATTGAGCTCAATACTCCACTTTGGTATATTGCCCGAATTATAATATTGTTCCTTCGGTTAATTTCATCTACGTAGGCCTACTAGCTGCAGTAACAGTGTTTTGCTACGGGAAGAGGACGTGAAATTGAAAAAAAATGCGTTTCACCTTTTAATTCAGGTTAGTGGTGTAAACCACCATTTCTTTAATTTGCTTTAAAATGTTTACTTACACTAAATTATTGTGAAAAATACAAACATTAGCTGTTATAAACTTCAGCAATATCGTAGTGCTTTATCAATAGTGTTTTTATCATACTCTACAGAAAGCAGCCGTTTATAGCTCCCTTCGTCTACAAAATCATCGTTTATAGAGTAACTTCAATAGGGAACAGAAAAAAATATGGTCAATTATTTGGTTCGGTAACCTCAAATGTTGTTTATGGACACTATAAATAATATTGTTTACTATTTTATACAGAAATTTAAACATTGTTAAACGACTTTGTATAACCTCAAATTGTGTGATCTAATTTTGTAACGATTAGAAGGCTATTTCCACAATATAATAAAAATAGTTGTTCATCTCATCATTAGGAGCGAGAGTTTTTTTTTTTGGTACTTTTTGGTCCGTACTCGGCTGCGCCTCGCATGTAAAGGGCGATTCCGTACCAAAAAGAGCCACTTTTGCTCACTGACAATTATAATTTATTTTTAAACCAAGAAAAACACCAATACATACTATTTAATTTACACATGAAACTGAGCATTGAATAATTAATGACATATAACACAACAAACAAAACAAATATGAAAAATAACTATAAAATAAATACAAAAAACATCGAGTACTAAAATATTTACCTACTAACAAACATATTTGTAATTATATCTCTAATTCTATTCTACAAATTCTATTCTACAAAGCAAACAAAAAATAACGAACAACATAATATTTAATGCGATTCTTTTTACCAGTCCCATATAGTCCATTGCATTTAAATTTACACTATCACCGTTGAATAAATACACATTGTACAAATATTTCATTGCTTTTAGACACAAAATAACGTACAACTTAATTTGATGATATTTTCCTTGGTTTAATCTGATCAGCGGCGAGCCAAGTTTGTCTTACCGTATTGTCTGATTGTGTTAGCTTGGCTGCACACGCGTTGTATGCACTTGACAATCGTTCTCTAACAGCTCCCTAGTATTATGAAAGTAAGAATATTTCGATTAATTATAAACATTATCTTCTTCTACATGTACAGGATTTTTTGCAATGCCTCCTGAATTCCTAAAGAAGAAGTGTTGTAATGTCACCAATGGCTCCACCAATTTTTGGTACAGGAAAATACTGAATAATCATTAAAATGCCATTGAGTTGTTTTGTCTATTTTAGAGGTTGTACAAGGACAGTGACATTGTCTTTGTTTTTATTCTTAATTTGTAAGATATGACTTCAATATGAAGTTTTGAAATTTGTATGGTATACTAAACACGGAAAATCCCAAAGACTCTGAACTGGTTTCTTGTCCCATTTAAAGCGTGACAATCTGACGCGTGTTTTGTGTGTTTGATACTTCTTTTATTTTTCATTCAAATGCTAATTTTTTAAGCACAATTTTATCTTTTTCTGTGCTTTTAGAACACATAGGTACAATAGTTTTTTGCACACATCCGTCGATTGGTGGCTAAAAGTTGCTTTTTGCTGGCCATGCCAGCTGTCATCGTCATTTGGTTTTTACATTCCTAGGGCCGCAAAATCAGCTACCCGCTTCTTTTCTTAAAACATGAATGCCTATTAAATACACAATCAGTATCCATAGCATTGCAATACAATTGTTTTATTGTCACCGCTGCCTAGCAACTATTTTTTTTGCTGGTTCCTTAAATTATTTATTCACATAACCTTAAAGTTGAAGTTGTGTTGACTGTTACTGCGGGGCTATAGAATACATATGTATTCTATAGCCCCACTGTTACTGTACATTATTATTGTGGTGCATAGTGGTCATAGGGTATAGTGTGGTGAAAAATAGCGTTCGTACCACGGACCGAAATGGTTCTGCAGCTCTCGATCGTTTTAAGTTCTCGACTTCGTCTCGAATTTAAAAACTATTTCGAGCCAGCAAAACCTTATTTTCAGCCCTAGGTACGAAATATACTATTTTGGCTTTTATTTTTCTTTGATCTGTTCTCAAAGCTCAACTATTTCTAAACTGTTCATGTTTATTTGTTTTGTTCATTTTTACATTTCATTAATTTCTCTCTGCTTGAAAACGTTTGTATTAAAGGAAAATTCGCACTGTTTCGTGTTTCATTTTTCATAATTCCCTCAGAAATCCTCAAAAACAATATGATAGATATGTGTCCGTGAACGTGATAAGTCGAGTAATTTTTGTCCGATTTAGATGAAATTTGATTTGAAGGTGTAAGGCGGGATAAACTTGAATGAATTCACTTCGCAAATCAGCGTGATCGGACCATGGAAACTGGGTTTTCGGTTGGTTTTATGGGGTTAAAAATGGGTTTTTCTCACTTTTGACCCTCAAAACATAATATTTTCAGATTTATCTTTAAACCATTTCAAAGATTTTAAAATTACAAATTATTTAGTATATTGATATTTTTTGGGTGGTTATTGGTTACGGAGAAAACTGAATAATTTGTATATTTAAAATTCCCATTTTATTTTTATAGGAAATAAGTAAACGAATGTAGTTTGCTTGTTTATAGATATATTTTGATAAAACTTGGCAAATTGATGTATTAAATACGTAGCTATTCATTTTTCACTAAAAACACACATTCACTTCCCTGTAGCAGCAAACTGAGGTACTTGTTAAACCTAATGCTATTTAAATGAATTTAATTTAAAATCCACTTATGGTAAATTCGAAATTAAAATTCACTTAGTCTGCAAGTTTGCTGCCGCGGGAGTATTTGTAATAGGTTTGATTGGTTTTAAAGCAAAAATAATATGTTTTCAGTCCCATAAAAATACTTATAGCTAATCATCAACATTGTAAATGTATTAAGGAATATGTTTAATCCATAATTACATTCTCTACGGACTATATTCTACAACAATGATAATAACAGTTGCACAACGTAAACTCATTTATATTTGTTTGTTAGTTTTAACAGGATTTTCTTGAGTGGAATATTACTCCACAATACAGGTCACAGTTCATATTTGACTGTTTATGACCGCACTAATAGTAAAAAAATATTTTACAAAAAATGAAAGAGTACACAAAATAAAGCTGCATTAAGTTTATGGCATGTGTTTAATCCAATATGAATTACACCATCACTATACATAAGAGTTTAAAACCTAAATATCAGGTTAAATATTAAACTGGTAACATGTTCAAGGCAGAGGTACAGAGTAGGTGGCTCCCACACTGCCTTGCACCTTGCTGGAGTGAGGGATGGTGTTGGCTGCCCCATGGATAGACAGGGTGCCGGGGCCGAGCTTGGTGCTGCCACCCACACTGCCTGTGACGACGTTCCCTTGTCCTCTGGAGTGAGTGACGTCCAGGCCGCCCTGGAGGCCGCTTGGGTGCTGGTAGTTGACACCACCCCCGACAGTTGACGCACCGTTGTAAGGACCGCCGAACACGTGAGACCCGTGTGCAGACCCCTGCAGTCCTGCCTGTGAGACTGGCGTGTTGGCGTGTCCGTGGACGATGGTACCACTGGGACGGACACTGTCCAGGCCGAGGTGCCAATTCTGCATTTGCAACTGAAATAGGAAACACGTTTATAATAAAATGCTTTCTGAGGTCGAATAATAATATCAATTCATCAAGTAATCAAGTGTTATATAAAGCTGATGATTGTATAAAACCCTAGAAAAAATCTGTTGTTAAGAGCATCAATAGGAATTAACAGATGATCATCTAAGAGTTGATAATACTTACTCTGCAGTGAGGATAACTTGGAGGACAAGTGCCTTGACCAAATGCAGCTGTAGCAGCAGTTGCTAGTACAATCACAATGGAAAACATCTTGCGATCTGAAAAATTGAGTGGTTAGAATAGCAGTATACAAATAAATATTTCATTAATTCTCAATGGCGTCAAATATAAAGATTTCTCCCAAGCAAGCCTGATAGTATATTTTCAAATATTAACGTGTTGGTAAAAGCAACAGTGTCAGACTGAATTCGAATTAAATCCAAACATAAGGAAAAAACATCTTTGTTAATAATTAAATTAAAACCTCTATATTTTTTGCTTATATTGTAGCTTATACAGGTTTAGCTTATTTTTATTGATACGTTTAACGGTTTAACATATCTTGTTGAATATTGTTTGTTCTTTTATTAACTTGATCGCATCACAAAATATGTTGAAAATACCCCCACCGCAGCAAACCTGCAGACTAAGTGAATTTCCATTTGTCTGATTTGATTTTTAATTAAATCTATTCAAATAACATTAGGTTTAACGAGTACCTAGGTTTGCTGCCTACAGAGAGGGTAATAAAGTGTGGTTTTTAGTAAAATATTCATTGCTTAGTATAAAATAAATATATTTGCCAGGTTTGATCCAAATATATCAAGAAACAAGCAAACTACAACAGTTTTCTTATTCTCCATGAGAATAACATGAAAATTTTTAATTTACAGTTTTCTCCGTAACCAATAATCATACAGAAACACTTAAGTATACCAAATTTTGTATACTAAGTTTTTTAAGCTCTTCAAAATGGTCTAGAGAAAATTTGGGAAATTATAAGTTTTAAGGGTCAAAAACGAGAAAACCCAAGTTTTACCCAATAAATCCCCCCCCCCATAAAACCCTGTTCCCATGGTCCGCTCATGCTCGTTCGCGAACTTGTTCGAATAAACATAAGCTTACACGTTCGAACCAAATTTCATCGAAATCGGGATCATTTTAGCTCAAGTTATCGTGCCAACGGACATATATATATATATATATATATATACATTTGAACGGATGGTGTTTTTGACTTCTAGGGACAAAAAAATAAAAAAGTAAATCGGTTCCGGGTCCACCATGAGACCTACGGTAATTGCTTATTTCCTATAAGGGTAATTCGCTAAAATGCAAAGTATATTTGTTACATTAAATATCAATATAAAATACTAATTGTAATATATTTAAGATAACAGGTGATAAGTGTTTTTCACCAAAGATAATGAAGCATACATTTCCAGAGACTTATTTCAGCAATTAAATTCATTAATAATTCAAACTCACGTAATAGGGGTATAAAGCCTTTGCTTTTAAATTAAAATTGTATTTATGTCAATGCATATTTATTGGTTCTTAGCTGCAAATATGTTTATTATCAGTAATAACGTAAACGTATTTAATTTACTTAGTATTGTGAAAGAATCGGATACTTATATTTTATGTTCGAAAAGAAATCGTTACTGCAATCTTGGTCTTTTTTAGATACCTCGATGCTTTAGTAGAAAAAAAAAGAAATAAAAAAAATTTATGGGATGAAATATCTATAAATAATATTATTAAATGAATATTTAATAAAATGAATAAAATATAAACATGGTTATAAGAAAATAAATGAAACAAACTCATACTTACATTGGTTAGCAGTGAAGTAGGTCTGTATATGACCGACAAGCCGATAAGAGGGAATGGTTGAACTGAGACCAGAGCCTCGCAAGTATATATACCGCGACTCGCGAGTGGGAATCCCCAGCCTGACTGCGGCTGTGTAGCTCTGTACAGTACAGAGCAGCTGGGCCTACGTGGAGAAAAATTACAAATTTGTTTGGACTTACTCAGATCCTAAACCAGCATATGAAGCCGTTCACCAGATATTGTTCAACTTGTATATTAACAACCCACTTTACAAAATAAACATAATCTATAGAGAATGACATTCGATTGTAGTTTACGCCCTGTCAGTTCGAAGTGTAGGATAGCTAGATTTAATTAGGACCGGCCCTAGTTCCACGTTGTTAGTAATTTTCAACAATTAAAAGTCAGATTTTCATTTGTTATATTAAGATGACTAACTCGTCAGTATTCCATATTTTGGAAAAGTTATCTTTAGCAACTTAAATCATAAATTGATAAATCAAATATTATAACATTTAATTCAATCCTAAGTATCACTGCATTTTATTTTTGAGTTTGTTTAAAAAACTTTCTATGAAGAATTTTAACATTTATCTAAGTATTCAGTACAAATATTTTTAGCATAAGTATAAAGGTGACAACAAGATGGTACGTTTGACTCAAAAGGTTTAAAGTAAAATTCACCTGATAATATTCCACTAGTATTTCTACTTTGCAAATTAATACTCTTCAAATGTATCAAGACGAAATATACATTTAGTATGAACCAATAGTAGAAAAACAAAAGATGAATGTCCCAGATTTGAGAGTCAATCAACTCATTTCGATACTTATAACATCTAACGATAGTAGTATTGCTGGGAATCCCTAAAAAGACTGCATAAAGATTTACATATGCAGCGATTATTAATTATTTAAGCTTAATAAAACTGAAAAACTTACATGTTTAACTAAACAGTTCTTTAATATATCAATACATACCTACACGTCACATAAATCTTATGTTTATATATTTAAACATAAGTAAATCAATCAATTTAACACTATTTCTTTAAGCAAATATATGTCTCATAAGGTTTTCAAGACATGTTTGATATCAAACAGTTTTATCGTATTTTAATAAACATAAACTGGTTGCTAAACGCTTTAGTAAAAGTATGCTCCTAAGTGCATCAGCACCTCTTTACATTTCGTTCTCTGTAGCCTAATGAGTTTCAATCAATTACCTGATTTACTACCACATGCTGCCAAAAGCGTTTACTAAACGAATTGGTACGGTTAAATTTTGTTTTAAGCCTTCGGCAAATGTGTAACTGTTTTGTACAACAGACTATACTTTTTCACTCCCTCTTTCCGTTGAAAAACACGGGTAAAAAGCTATAAAAGTTTAATTTCAAACGAATACATATTTACAAACATTAGAATCTTGGAATCATATAAATAACAAGAATAAATTGCATTGAAAACGCATAAACGCCGAAGCGTTTTTAAACTGGGTTTGGTGTGTTATGCAAGCAGCAATCATATAGACCCTAATAAATTATGACAAAACTGTACATAGTAATATTTTACGTTAAAGGTTTTACGGAGTTGTTTTGAATATATTACGTACTACTGCACTAACTACCAGTTTCAAAGTACCACGGGTTTGGGGTCGGTAAAGTAACTTACATTTCACCAAACAGCTTGATAAAATGCTAACTACAGAAGTCTACTGCTCAAATGAGGTCATTGGATTTTCTGTTATAGAGTGAAGGTGTGCAATAAAAAAAAAACATATAAACGTAAACTCAACAGCTTACAACTGCATGAGGCGACTTTCTAGGATCTTTTATTCTGTGGGTGGCTAAAAAAGGTAAATACAAATATGCTGCATAGTATAAACCGAATAAAAGATAATGAGGACAAAAAAAGAGTACTTAAAACGTTCAAGTGTCTGTTCTAAAGTTAGGTACATGTAGATTACAATAGAATGGAATATAATGTATAGTACTTGATGAAATACTTACCAGCTTCAATTATAATGTTTCCTTTGATTAACTTTATCTACATACTAGCTGCAGTAGGTTACCCGTGTTTTGCTACGGAGAAAAAGACGTGAAATTTAAAGAAATGTGTTTTATGTCTGTTGTATTAATTTCATAAAAGTGTATACCTTTTAACTCAGGCTAGTGGTGGAAACCACCATGTCTGTTTTGTTAAATATTAAATGTTGTATAGAATAACAAAAGATAATCTTACCAATGATAATAACTTATTTTAACAATTTAATTTACTCAATTCTCCTACGTATACCTATTTCTTTTATCTTTTTCATTATTTTTGATGTTTTAACTTCAATCTTGAGGTTTCAAAACCACCAATTATTTAATTTAAATAAACGAAATGTTATTAGGTTCATCAATTTTCTTTAAAATGTTTACTTACACTAAATTATTGTGAAAAAATAGGTACAAGCTGTTATAAACTTGAGCAATATCGTAGTGCCTTATCAATAGTGATTTAATCATACTCTACAGAAAACAGCCGTTTATAGCTCCCTTCGTCTACAAAATCATCGTTTATAGGGTGACTTAAAATAGGGAACAGAAAAAACATATGGTAAATTTTTGGTTCGGTAACCTCAAATTTTGTTTATGGACACTATAAATATTGTTTACAATTTGATACAGAAATGTAAACATTGTTGACGACTTTGTATAACCTAAATTTATGTGGTCTAATTTTGTAACGAATAGAAGGCTATTTCCAAAGTATAATGAAAATAGTTTTTCATCATTAGGAGCGAAAGTGTCTTTTTGGTACATATCCAAACTCGGCTGCGCCTCGCATGTAAAAGACGATTCCGTACCTAAAAGAGCCACTTTCGCTCACTGTAAATTAGGATTTATTTTTAAACCAAGCAAAAAAGAATACTTTTTAATTTACACATGAAACTGAGCATTGAATAATTAATGGCATACAACACAACAAACAAAACCAATATGAAAATAACTATAATTGAAATAAAAAAAATATCAAGTACAAAAATATTTATTAACAAACATAATTTTAGTTATATCTCTAATTCTATTCTAAAAAAAATAACGAACAACATAATATTGATTGCGATTCTTTTTACCAGTCCCTTATAGTCCATTGCATTTGCATTTACACTTTCACCATTGATTAATGAAACATAGTACATATATTTCATTGCTTTTAGACACAAAACAACACTGTGTATTGCTCAATTTTATGATATTTCCCTTGGTTTAATTATATCAGCGGTGAAGTAAAACGCAAACACTAAATTTCTTGTAATTCAATGAATTCATTCAGAAGTGCTGTTAAGTAAGAAGTATGTTAAGATAAAATAAGAATATTTACCGATCAGAGTACTCAAAACACAGTACAAAAAGTTATTATGTTTTGCAATAGGAGTCATTTATACAACTAAATGCAAATAGCCTAATGGCTGTAGGATCCAAAGACAATTATAGAAAAAAAATTTTTAGTAGCTACAAATGCCTTTGAAATGCCTTTGTACCTTTGAATTAAACAATTGTGGCGTTAATTATAATTATTATTACTAAACCATACACCGGCAAAAATCAAATAATACGAGTAGTTTAAATATTAGTACTCTCTGATTAATATGTACATTCATCTAAGTTTTTAAAAAAGGATATGTATTTTAAGCCCTGATCAAAAACTATGTTAAGCAGATTAAATTTGCTAATAAAATATTAAAGTTATTCAAAACATGCACATTTTGTACTTTTCCTAATGCTTACATACAAATATATTAGAAAAACTATTTTTAAAGACTCGGGATAAAGTCCAGGTTTATACGCCAACGGTAATGGAATCTTTGAATTCAATAATAAATAGCACATTCTAGAACATAATAAAACAAACCTATCACAAATTTAGACGTGCAAAATATTTTATATTACTTTTTTAATTTGATTTGTATGAGATTGTTAAGTTAGCATTTGACAGTTATGCTTCTACGGTATACATTCAATTGTCAACCCAAAGTATGAAATTTGTTATAAAATTAAGTGTTTTATTTAAATTAAATTGTCAAATATTAATTTTATTTGATAATTTGAGTTTTCTCGTCCTGCCATGGAGATGGTCGGTACAGTTTCCCAGACAAACAGAAAGACAGACAGACCTCACCTCAAATTTATAATAGTACAGAATTATACATTTACTAGGCTAAGTCATAATACCATTCTATTGTGTTTAATTTAATGAAACGTCCGTTGGGACAATATTTTTATTACTTGTAAAATGATTGTTACATTTTAAGAAGGCTGGTGCACCTACCTGTTGCTCTGATTTAAGCGTAAAATACTTATATTTTATTTGTTAATTCAGCGTCGTTCGTCTTATCGTACTAATATAACGATAAAAGAGTTTCCAATTACATTTACACCTTTACCTGATGAACCGTTTTTACAAAAGTAGGCATAATAAATTGCCTTATTTTGAACAACATTTTTCGTACGCCCATTTTAAAGAACTTTTCTGTGGTCTTGTGTGTTATTCTATACCTATAGTTAATGATTCTAAGGGTTTTTGATTTACACTTGGATGAAATATGTATGTTCGCAATGTTTCTATGAGTTTTAAATATTCTTAATTTGTCTTAAAATAGGATAAACGAGAACATTCTGATTAATTGAAAATGGGATTTACTATAAACATAGCTGGGTTTTTCTTTTTTGAGAGCTATTTCATACTATTTTAACATGTAAGCATATAGATGTATTACCCAAGGATAATGTTATATCCAGTTCTCCTGGTGGGAATACATAACACAATAACTCGATCATTCAGCCAAATTGCCAATGCTTCAAAGCCAAGTCATCAAACTAAAACGATTTACAAACATGTTGATTATACAAATTAAAATTCATCGAGACTGTAAAGGATATGGACTTGATTTTTTTAAAGAGCACTCCAAAGATAATTGGTATTATAAAACAGAATTGACAAGTGTATTAAAAAGAAGCTGGTCCAATGTTCTGGTTATCTCAGGAAGGGGGGTATTACAAAGCAGATCTGAGTTGCCGGTTATAGTGTGAATAAGCAGAATGTTACTTAAATAATTCAGTGCCTCTTGAATGTAAATACAGAAAACAATTTATATGTTTAATGATTATTATATACACACCCATATTAATTAAACATAATTATAATTGGTCACCGATGTATCTAGTATAGTGATCATACTCATGCTCTGATGAATCATAATCACTTTGGTTTAGGTTTTGTCACAAAACATTTTAATTTAGTAGTTCATAAATATTGCTTAAACTGGTGCTAATTCACTAAACAAAATGCATAGTCTTGTAGTATATAGTTTGTCCAATGAGTACACTATGTATATAATTTAAAAACTTAAATATAAGGTTTAACGTAAAGCTAGTGTCAGGGAGTGGAAAGATAATACACCACATCAATTTTAAGGCATATGTTTAATCCAATATGGATTGCAACTATACATAAGAGTTTCAAACCCAAATATCAGGTTAAATATTAAAATGGTAACAAGCTCAAGGCAGGGGTACAGAGTAGGTGGCTCCCACACCGCCTTGCACCTTGCTGGAGTGAGGGATGGTGTTGGCTGCCCCATGGATAGACAGGGTGCCGGGGCCGAGCTTGGTGCTGCCACCCACACTGCCTGTGACGACGTTCCCTTGTCCTCTGGAGTGAGTGACGTCCAGGCCGCCCTGGAGGCCGCTAGGGTGCTGGTAGTTGACACCACCCCCGACAGTTGACGCACCGTTGTAAGGTCCACCGAACACGTGTGACCCGTGTGCAGACCCCTGCAGTCCTCCCTGTGAGACTGGCGTGTTGGCGTGTCCGTGGACGATGGTACCACTGGGACGGACACTGTCCAGGCCGAGACGCCAATTCTTCTCCAACTGTAAAATCCAACCTTAATATGATAATATTTTAATATTGAAATTGAAAGTTAAATTATTAGGGTGAATACAGCATTAAAGTGCGGATGAGAATATTTTAATGCTAGTATGCTAGTAGAAGAAGAAAATGTTTGTGTCTAATTTGTGTAAGCAGATAGTAACTACTACAGTAAAACTATAGTGCAGATGATTACACCAATAATGATATGGGCTAGTGATTTCAGTGAACTTCTGTTTATTGCTATACAGTCTAAACATTTGTGTTAAAGCTCAAATGCTGTAGTAGTTGTTACAGCCCTTAAGGGTTTATTTCCAGAAAATGCGAGTATTTATTACTTTGAAATAACTAATAATTTGTAATTAATTAACATTAGAGCTCAATCAACTTACGCAAGATGGAATCAGTGGAGAGCAGCCATATTGACCCAGTACAGCAGAAGTAGCAACTGCTAGTAAAACCACCGTTTTGACTATGTAGTGCATATTTAAGTCTGAAAAACGTGTTTTATTATTTTAACCATGCTAACAAATCATACTGTTTGAAACTCGTTATTAATATCTTCTATACTTTTATAAAGAAAAGGTGGTGTCTGTCTGTGTATGTGTGTCTGTCTGTCTGTGTGTTTGTTTGTATGAGCTAAACTCCAGAACTACTGAACCGACTGGGCTCAAACTGTTAAAAATAAAGCTACAGCTCCGAGGATACATATAGAACTATTCCCCCTTCGATATTGACCTAGGGTTCTGCCCCACAGGTTTTCAAAGTTCTGAGGTGAGAGTTTAAATGTATTGATTATTTATTTGTCACCATGGTAACAAAAAAACGAATCCACAAAGTTTAAAATGTAAACAAGTACAACTGTCAAATGAATTTTTACTTCACATGTCCACACCGCCGGTTCAAACATATTACATACTGCAAGGATATTAGAACAGAAAGGGTATTGATCATAAACCCAATTCTGTGAAATATGATTTTACTTGGTCAAATGTAAACATTATTTAACATTGCTTAAATGGAACTGTCAAACCATATGTTAAGGCCATACGAACAAACATACATACATTAGTATGGGATTCTTTCAGTTACGTCATTTGTTTATGTTCATAACGAGTCTGTTCTAAAATTTTGTGAAATGCTGAAATATTTTAAAGTAAATTAGTAATCGTAAAAGAAATTATTCATAGATATAGGAAATATTTTAGATTCTATAATCATTGCTGTATCAACCTAGGCTCTAGTTTTATGAGAAATTATAATATTAGTAAGATATTTTTTAGATATATTTTTGGGTAAACAGTAATAAAATACTCCGTCCGCAGTAAACCTGCAGACTAAGCGAATTTCCATTTCCCTGATTATAATTTTACAACAATATTTTAGAACATTACACTATTGACAGGTTTGAAACTATTGTGATAGCTTTTCGTTACTAGTAAAAACCATCCAACATGTTATTTGATTAATACCTTAAAATTTGTCATCGGTTTTGTATCCTAGGTAGCCTAAATAAGTGTTCACAGTCTGAGTTAACAAAAACGTACAAGTTAAGTAATACAGATCAATTTCGATTCTAAATTAAACAGTAGGCGTTAAACAGTTTTTAAGGTATTTTTTAAGAACCAACATTGTCTCTTTTGCATACTGACCCCGTTGCAAGGCACGGGTATAGCTGCTAGTCTTTTAATACATAATAAATTTAAATGTCGGTTGCAGTTTCATGAGTTAGTGAGTTTGTTTGGGATACTAAAAAAATGTTTTCGTTAAAACCATAAGGCTTTTTACCTCTCATTTGTACAATTTGCTAGACTGAAAAATATTATGATACTAATTAAATGTATTAACACGCTTATGAGATAAAATAAAATAAATTTAGTATCATATAGTCAAAAGTTAAAACATTTTAGTGTGCTGCAGTCAATAAACAACTATTAGTAGTTATATTTTTCTAAACTCTCATATATCCTGTGAACACATAACTACAACTTAAAACAAGTGATTAGTAATAACAAAATATGATGGTTTAGTAATGCTAAAACAGATGTATAATTTACTCACATATAATCTGTCCTCTTTCACAAGAGTGTAGTGGGTAGCTAGGAGTGGAAGGCTTACTGTGCTCTCAGGTCTGATTCTCAGATGTTATATAGAACAAGTATCAGCTGGGCGGGAATCCCCAGCCTCGTCCGCCGTGTATACTGTACAGTACAGAGCAGCTGCCCATTGCCCAGACGTCATGACGTCATGCGGGCCGCGACGCAACCAGCCCGTGCTAGTTAATTGAGATGCATATATAACATTACGAAATATCCGTAGTTTCAATAACGGAAATAATAAATTGCATTCTTAGCCCTTAGTAGTCTTGTGCCTGATTAGCCCAGTTTCATTTTATTTATTAAAAAAATTATTTACATTCATCTATTTACAATGCTATCAATGCTAATGTGCAATGCATATGTTTTTACAATGTTAGTTAAAGTACTAAATCTTGAATACCAACAGTTTTTGGTAGGCCAAAACAGTTAAACTAACAAGCTAACAACAGTTGATCATCCTGAGATCACAAGACGTCTAATACTTATAGTATCAGATCACATAAAATTATCACCGATGAAAAATCTCTGGTTCTGATTTAAGGTGAACACCATTTTTTTTTTTTTTTTTTTTAAGGGAGAGGAGGTAAAATGCTTTTACGCACACAGGTAGCCAGCCTGTAGTGTGAGACTCCTGAGCTTGTCAGACTACTCACTAAAAAAACCCCTCTACTCTGTTGGACACAGACCTGGGATTGTTTGTCACATTACTTCAGGTCAGGTCAACGTGTGACCTAAGCCCTCAGGGCTCGCGCCGTTTCTGGCATTCAATTTCTTTATGACCTAGACTGCATCTCGGTCAAGCTCTAGCTTCTTTGTGCGGAGAATATCCTGGACGAAATGTGACATACAGGTCCAATTGTCCTCACCCTCCGTCATCATCGGAATGACCGTGTCCACCAACAACTGCCCTACATGTTGTTCAGCCTCCAGGCGGGAACCTTCCCAACGCTGGCAGCGGAAGAAGGTGTGCTCCGCGTCATCGGGAGTGCCTGGGCAGTAGATGCAATCGGGTGACACGGCTTTGCCCATTCTGAACAGGTACGACCGAAAAAACCCGTGACCTGTCAGAAACTGGGTAAGGTAATAGTCCACCTCACCATACCGTCGGTCAACCCATGGTTGGACTTGCTGAATCAGTCTCCTGGCCCAGCGTCCCCGCGACTCCTGTTCCCAGCTCTCCTGCCAGAGCTGGTAGGTGCGGTTGCGCTCCTCCATTTTTGCATGGTCCTCTCCACGCCGCTGATAAATCGCTTTCCTCTCCGCCGCCAAAGGTTTGACGGGGATTACTCCAGTAACCACCAAGATGGCAGGTTCAGACACTAATCGGTAGGCGGATGCTACCCTGAGTGCTGCCTGACGCTGCACTCTGGCAAGCCGCATCCTATACACCTCCTTATTGAGCGCGTCTGCCCACACCTCCGCACCATACAGGAGCACAGACTGAACTGTAGACATCAACAGCCTTCTGCGACTGGAACGAGGACCTCCGACATTGGCCATTAACCGGCTAAGAGAAGAGATCACCTTAGCGGCCTTGTCCGCCGTTCGGAATATCTGGTCCCGCCAGCTAAGCTTAGAGTCCACCATGACACCAAGATACTTGGCGGCACGAACGGACTGGACTTCGACGTCCCCCACCCTCAACGGCACAATGGTGTCAATCCGCTTTTTGGTCAGAATCACTATCTCAGTTTTGTTCAGCGCGAGTGAGAGACCGTGATCTGCCATCCATGCGTTTATAGTTCGCATGACTCGGTTTACACCATGACTCGCAAGGTGAACACCATTGCGATAACTCAAAATACTGATACTTATGATAAAAATTTCTTATCATATTTTTTACATAGAATTTTGCTCTAATGGGAATATTGTAAATATCCTGTGCTTTGTACTGGAAAAATATATTCATTATAATTTATTGAAACTCATAATAATAAGTTCTAAATAGTTAATATTTATAGATATATAATATTATAATGAAGAGGTGGTTTCTGTTTGTCTGTCTATCCGTATATATGTCTGTCTCTTTCACGGGTTGAACGCAAAAACCACTAAACCACCTGGACTTAAATTTTATGAACATCCTACAGTACCGAGGATCATATTAGAGATTTACCCACTTTGATATTGACCTAGGCTCTGCCCCACGGGTTTTCAAAGTTCTCAGGCGAGGCTTATAAAAGTTAATATTGATTGGTATCCATGTCAAAAACTTGCGTTGTTTACATGTCCATGGAAGACTACCATAACTCTAGGTTGCACTACTAATTGACTATTAATATAATACTTAGTCTTTGAGTATATTAGTACAACACTTAAATTAAATATATCAATAGTTAATGGATAGCAGTTTCATTTGGTTACTTTAATCAATGGTAAGTGTGAAACAATTGTTTAGTGTCTATAATCTATGGTAAGTGTGTAAATGAACTAAGAAACAGGTACAATTTTATTTAAACCAGCTGTTTGTAAATATTGTTTGTTGATGATTTATAGCTATGAATTTTATTAAAACTTTTCACTAAGACATTTTTGTATGGTTTCTTTTTACTCAAGCACTTTTAACTTTATATAATAAGCTGCAGGGATAATAGAATAATTTGGGCGAAACAAATATATTTTTTTAGTAACTTCAATATCAACTAATTAAATTTTTTGCTTCACGACAGTATCCTGTCACAAGATTATTTTTCACCGACTGATATAAGCTAAGTAGGTGTTCCAAGTAAATCTTACCGGTTACTTTTAAAATGGATAAGCAAATAGTTTCATAAGTGCGTCAGCGCTACTGGTTGCGTACTAGGTGGACTAAAACATTTTCACCACTTACCTAAATTGAAAAACATATACCTATTTATATGAAATGAAAGCGGTGCAGTTGAATTTAACTTATCGTGTTAATTGACATAACTTTTAAATTGGTTTGTTTGTCCAAAGATCAAAATGTAAACATTGATGAAGATATAATGATAGAGAGAGTTGCTGAGTCAGCGGCACTGATCTGTCTGTCCCGCATCAGCTGACCGGTTATCTGTGACGTCAGAGGCAAGGCCGAACTGGTCGTTGAACTGTGAAGTACAGAGTTTCTCATATTAGCTGCGATTAATCTACAATCACAACTGAACTGAAAATTCCAATTTCTCTCCACAAATGCAAGCCCACGAGGAAGCAAAAGCTGCAATAATATTATTGGTGACAAATTAATTACTATAGGTCGGCCTCTTAGAAAGCGTCCTCCTTGTAGCATTGGTGCGAGAGAGAGATACCGAGCTGTGGGAGTGAGACAGAATATGGCTCTTCCCCCACTCCGCTGCCACCCCACCCCCACCCTTTATTTTATTTTACCTTTTATTTTACCAAATCATATGTTATCTTGTAATTTTCCAAAGACTTTTGAATGACAATCATTAGGAATCAGCATTGAATATATAACACTATTATTTAGTTTTATATATCCGTTGTATTCAACATTGAGTGAATATACTGTCCAGTTATATGGTACCATTTAACCGAAAAACAGTAAAGCAGTAAATACCGTACTTGATTGGCTGATTGGAGGGGTGGGGGATGTGCGTGCACACACCTTCTTTTATACTCCTTGCCATCTCGGGTCCAGAGGTATTACAGTACTACGGTACATGAGTACTACGGTAATAGCTTATACCCTATATAGGAAATTCAATAAAAGGCCGTCACTAAGATGTGTGATCGTTACTTGCGATGGTGGCAACGCCATTATAATTGCAGTCACGTTATTTGCGTCTTACACGGGGGAGCGAGCTGGCGTAGTGGTTAGAGCGCGAGACTTCAGTCCCTGAGGTCCCGGGTTCGATCCCCGCCAAGTCACCAATGGATTTGATCTAAGTGACAATGCCGCAACCCCTAGGTCTAGCCTAAAGTAATGTGTACAACAATCCCAGGCTCGTGCCTAGCGTACTAGGACAAAAAAAAACAAAAAAAATTGCGTCTTACACAATCCTGGCAACATCCGCGATAATCTCATGCGATTATCTCAGTTACCATGACTCTTTGTGATTGCGGCCATATCTTAATCGCGGCGAGATTCGTGATGATTGTCCATACCTCTCCGTACCGGAAATTCTCCATGTCACCTCAATTGAAATAATGCACGAAACTGCTAATGCTGCTGAGTTGCAATGAATGAATTCAATACTTTTTAAAAACAACTCCATAACAACCGCACGTAGCTCAGGCGACCACTGCTCTGTGACTAGAAAAAATGGCATCGTGTAGGCTTTCCAACGAGCTTACTCCCACCACTTTCAGACAACCTGTCGCTGAACAGTGCTCTGCAGAAAATGGATCGGTTTTTTGCCGCACCCTGTACTGTATAACACAATAACTATATTCAATATTGAATACAACACTATGTTGGATATAAAACGCTAAATAGTGTTATATATTCAATGCTAATTCGTAATGATTGTCATTCGAAAGTCTTTGGGGAATTACAAGAAAACATGTGATTTGGTCAAATAAAACACGTTCAGTTCGCACGTGACGTCACTATGCACACACCTTGTGAAAACGGCCATTGGCGGAGAGGGGGAAAGTACCCTCCCTCTCTTTCACCTCCCCTACATGCGCTAAAAATTTCGCGCAGGTCGTTTTCTAAACGGCCGACCTATATTAATTATTGCAAGTATCTGTGAGATATTGTTTACAGAAACAAACTTTAAGATTTAAACTTCCTCGATGTTATTCTGTATAAATGTAGGCTATGCAACTTTTTTAAATGAAAAAAGTATAATCGAATTTCATTGAATTCAAATTCAAATTCTTTGTTAAAAAAGTAAAATAAAATTTGATAAGTATTTAACTTCTTTAAAGTTTAGAATATCTATATATTAATTTGAAACTGTTTTTCTTTGTGACAGTTATTTTGAGAGAACGGCTGGGCGTAGAAACTCGGTAGAGGTGTCTAAAGAAAGGTCCTAGTCTGTAGATGAGCTATCAAAAGAGAAACATGGAGAATTCCTTTGGGGCTCTGCCCCAGTGGCCTTTAAATTCCCATCCCATGTTATTCTTATGGAG